GCCAGTGTGATAATAAAAAAATTAAAAAATAGTATGGCTTACGCACCAGGGTTTTGACGTACTAGTACGCCTAAATTCTAGTGCCCTCAAATCTAGCGAGAGAAAGCTGGTAGGCCTACATATGAAAGAATGGGTTTGTGGTCAGTGTGCACAGTATAAAAAAAATCCTGCAGCACGCAGTGCGTAATGAGAAAAAAAAACTTTGACCGTGTTTTTGGTTTAAAACAGTGACTTCGTACTGTATTTTCGTATGGTATTTATGGCTGTATTCTAGTTTTCCTGGTCTCATTTTATAGCATGGAAGACATATTACAGAAATTGAGATGATTTTGATTGGTTTCACAATGAAAAGTACCTTGAAATTGAGCTCAAATTAGCAGAAATTTTCGATTTTTGCCAAAGTTCAAAAGTAAACGAATCATGCCACAGCCCCAATTTACAATCAATGGTGAGTTGATATTTTTACAAGTCCCACTGATTTTTTTGTACCTTTTCTACATAATGCGTGTCTGCTAACAGTAACTTCTATTGTTTTTAGAAAAAAAAATCAGTGGAAAGAAAAAAAAAAATGTAAGAGGACCCGGGACTGACTAATGAGCAGAAAAAATGTTTTTTAGTGCCAGGAATGTTGCTTGTTTTTTCTGGACCCTTTTTGGAAATTGGCATTTTGAAATTTTGTGTAAAATTGGCTTTTTTGGGAAATTTGTGTGAAAGGGCAAAATTGCTAATTTTACCACAAATTGGATAGTTAAAATCTGTAAATGGGGGTTTCTTGCCCTCAATCGATAAAAAAAAGGGAGTTTAGCAAAAATGTAATTTTTTTTGTGTAGTACGTGGAATTGGTCGAAAAGGGGCTAAAAAGTGGCAAAATCCCAAGTTAAACCCTTTGACTTTTTTCCGACGTAAAAAATAGTTTTCCCACCCCAATTTTTCTGAATATTTATACGCACAAATTCTGCGGCTTCAAACGAGCGCCAAAGGGCCCTGATAGGCCCTACACGGGGAGAATGGGTTCAGGGTTGGTGTCACCCTGTGAAAAAAATCTGGGCCCTACGGGCATTGTGGGAACCCCATTTTGTCACCCATTTTCACCACCCTCTGGGTAAATTTCCCACTCGCGGCGGATTGGAGGTTTTTTTTTCCCCAAGTGATACCCCAAACAGCGATGAAAGGGTTTGTCTTTACAGTAATAAAAGGGTTTTAAAGTGAGGTTACCAAAAAAGTGCCCAGGAAAACGAAAATTGTGCGAAAACCCAGATGCCCCACAACCTTCGACCTTGGTGCTGTCCCGGCTTTTTCCCCTTCACGTTGCCGTACCGGGCGAAAGGGAAATTTTTGGGTCGTGACAACACCCTGATGTAGAGTGATGTGATAGTGATAGTGATTTCAGGTCTTGAAAGCAGTTTAGTGACGTGAGAGTGAAAATTCCCCAGTGAAGCGCCGTATGTACGCCCCTTTGCATGCGGTTGGTGTTTTTTATATGTTGTTCCAAGGGGAAGGGAAATTGGGAGCACACCCCGTGGCCCCAACACCCGACCTGATATAAAGATGAGATATTGTAACGAGGGGTATGAATGATGACAGTGGGGGGAGGCAGGGGTGGGATAGTGGGGTGGCACGGCCCATGTGGCCCCATCACCGGGCCACGCTACTCCCACCGGCTGATAGCAGAACAACCGCCTCCCCTCCCCCAACTCCACAACCTGCCCACCACAACCTGCACAGCCACAACCACCCCCACAACCACGGTAAAATATCCAGACCCCCAGCAGAGCTCTGGGATTGGCAGGAGGGTGCGGTTTTTTCCCCGTCCCCATGATTTTTGAGAAAAAAAAAGTGGAATAAACCCCATCTTGTCCATTTGGGGAAAACAATCCCAGTGAACGGTTGCTTTGGTTATTCCGAAAACCCCCTGATGGACTCATTGGGGGCCAAACAATATGTGAAACACCATGGCAAATTTACTTTTAAAAAATAGGCTCACAAGGGGAAAGGAGACAATGTGGCAGAGATGTACCTGTTTTTTGCCAAATAATGCTTATGACATGTGTTAAGCACACTGTCACCACATACTGGACAAAGATCGCTGATTTCAACTCCGGGTTTTAGGGAATTTATGGGTGTAAATTTTTCCCTGATACTGTTGGTATTTTACACTTTTCAGAAAAAACCGGCCCTGACAGAAGCGACAGGTTATATAGTAAAGAAAGTGTTTTGTCCTAAAAACAAAAGTGTGCATTTTTTTTACCCCTTCGGAAGCTTGTTATTGATGGCCCTTTGTTTTACCCAAAGGAAGACCCTATTCAAGCAATATATACCAAGCAAGAGGAAACGCTTGGTATAAGCTATTTGTACGTGTATTGCGAAATGGCTTGTTTTAGATATATTGTGTACACTGGCGAAATCTTTGAGAGATCCCTGAAGTTTTGGGTATCCTGGTGTGGGGTTTGAACAATGATGGAACCATATTTGGGTAAGGGCATATGTTATTTATGATAATGGTACACAACCCCCTTATCAGTGTTTTCTTGCGAGTGAACTTGACAGAGTGTGTGGCAGTGCGTGGTAATCAAAACATATCCCAAGGTTCGACGCTGGCACCGAGGGTGAGGTGCAAGCCTTTGCTGCCAATGACATCAGGCATTTCGGTGGCATGAAAAAACGTGATGTCACATTGTTGACATCATTTACAAAAACAAAAGGTACCCAGGGGCGGGACAACAGAGAGCCCAATGCCCATTCTAAAGCTCAGCTGTCATGGAAAAACCCCTCAATTGCGCTTATTGGAAAATGTGCATGCAGTTTGGGTTTGCGGGCTGTGTAGCAAGAGTTATAATGGTATATCAAACTTTTTTTCCATTTGTTGATATCTTATGCTAAAGCTTAAACTATACAAGTTGAAGCCCAACAAAAACCCCAAAAATTGGTGAATTTTGCCTGTCAGAAATCAGAAAAAAATTCAAAGTACAAGGAGCAACCCCTGCAATAGACCAGGCCCCAGACGTCATTGTTTGAGGCCTGGTGTACTACCCATACAATGCCTCCTACTACTGCAAGAAAAATGCTCAAAAGAGGTGTTATTATGTATGCTACCCACAAAACGCCCACAACACGCAGAGACACTCGTTTTTTGTGTGAGGAGTGTAAAGTGCCCCTCTGCATTACCCATTTTTAAAGATTCCAAAAAGTGCAGCAGTTCTGGAACGGGTTGGGAAACTGTACTATGAAATTTATATTATGGAACAATAGTAAAAAACTTGTTTTGTATTGTTTGTTTTGTAAACAAAGTGTATACCAAAACTAATAGGAAAAAGTTTGTTGTTATTGTGTTGTAAATAATGAGTGTATTTTTGAACAATGCCCTTACATTGGTTCACGGCCAATAAGTTACTGGAAAGAAAAATATTGAAAAATGCAAGAAACCTTTGAATTAGGTAAAAAAAAGAATCCCGGGTGGGCGGCAGTCGCCCGCTGTTGCCGTACGACGTCAATTTCTGAAAAACTTTGGCTTATATCTCGGAAAGTACTGATGGCAAAATTTTTTTTTAGGCTTAAAACACTAGTAAAAATTCCTAACTTTTTCATAAAAAAAAAATTTTTTTTTTTGAATTTTTTGGCGACATAGAATGACGTTTAGAGAGGCCCTGAAACAGTAAAAGGGTTTTAAACATCTTTAAACGAAAAAGTTTGCGAGAGCGTAATTCCGAAAGTTTTTCATCAAATTTCATACTTTTGGTGTCTTTATGTCAGGAAAAAATTCTCTTTCTTTTCAGAAGAAAAAATAATTTTTTTTTTTTCTGAAAATTTTTTGACCCTGAGAATAATTTTGGAAAGGGCCTCTCAACCTAAAAGGGGTTAAAGGAGGGGCATGGGTTTTGGGCATTTTGGGAGGGACATAAAACTGTTGTTTAGCGTTCTGAAAAGACTGATTTTGTATAAGGATGGAAAAGTGTTGAATGTAAAAGTTTTTTTTTTTTGGGGGTTTTTCTTTCTATTGAGTCACCTGCCTTGGGGGAAATGGCCTACATGTTAAAAAAAAAAAAAATTCTTACTTTTGGTAATCTGGCAGAAGGGTTACTAGCCTTGCCCCTGGCTTTTTTAGTCTGCTTTAACAACACACAGGGCTTATGGGAAAAAAGGATTTTTATTCCTTCCCCCATGGAGATGAGAGGAAAATAAAATTGAACAAGAATTTTGAGAAAAACAAAAAGAAAGTTTGGATGAGTGTGCATTTACAGGGGTCCCTTGAATTCGAACTTGTTGTTCCAGAAGGCTGTTGAGCAAACCCGAACAAATTTTTTCCCCTAAAGAATGATGTAAATTAGATTAGTCCTTTTAGACCCCCAAAAAAAACACTTACAAAAGCACTTACAAAAATACCTTCTAATTGTTCGAGTTGGGAGTGTTCAGAACTCGAGGTACCACTGTATACGTACATGCAATGTGTGTGACTTAAGTAAAAGTAGCAAGTTACCTGTTATCTTGTGTTTTTGAGAGTTTAAAAAGCCCCATATTCCCACATTGTGTAAAACAATTACAGGTTTGTTTACTTCTTTTGGGCGGGACAGTGTACCCCCAAATGATTGCTTTTTCCCAGGGGGATGTGTAAATGATAGGAAAGCATTTCTTTTTCGGGTCACTTGCCTCTGTGGGGGGACAGCCAGTTACTAAAAAAAAAATGACTTGTTTTTCCATTTGCTTTTTGGCTTGTAGGGCAAGTGCACCCCGGTCTCTGTGGCCTACAGTAGTTCTGCAGGGAATGGCTAAGACTAATTACTTTTCTGGAATATCAGAGACTACTTGGCCTTTTACTTAAAAGTGCCATGGGGTAAACCCCTTTGTTTTAATGGCAGTACTTCCTGGAATGTTTTTAATGTTGGTGCTTCATTGGGGACCCCCTGAAAAAAATGTTGTTGACCTTTCTTTGGTATTCTGTTCAAGTAGAAAGGGCGAAAAATTATTTATTTTTTCTAAAAAAAATTTGCCCCTCTTCATTTCAGAGTAAGTGGAGACGGCACTCAGCTTTTGCGCCCTTGCCCCGACCTATCATGAGTGACTTCGGTGTGATTGAGGCAGTGTTGGGGTGCGGATTTTGCAGTACCCAGTAGGCTTTGATTTACCGGGTTTCCAGTGCTAGTGCATCAAATTGGTTAAAAAACCCCGGAGTATGTTTGGGGGCGTGGGGTTTAGATGCCATTTATAATCAGTTGATGAATCAGCTGGATGGTACAGGTCCACTCCTTTTTTTGAAGATAAAAATTTACAAATCTAATCAAAAATCACCCAAAAACAGTGTGGTAAGAGCCCTTTTTTTTTTTCATTCTAAAGTGCACTTTTAAAATATTGTATGTTGCCTTTGTATTAAAAAATTTAAATTTTTTTATTGAACAGGGTATGGAAAGGTCATTTGGCCTAAAAGTTTTGATTTGGCTTTTTATACTTAATAGAGAGTAAAATAAAGATTTGGGTGTGAAAAAAAAATGGGGTTTTAATAATGTGTTTGCACCCCGGGGGAAAAGAGAAGTGTAGAGGAGAGAGAGAGATTTTTGGGGAAAAAGTTGGTAATGGTGGGGGGTTTTGAAACAAATGTGAGGAAAGGGGTTGGGGATTTCATGTAAAATGGGTAAAAAGTTATGGAGGGGTAATAGGGGAAAATTTTGGGGGGCCAGGGGGTAAAGTAAAGGGGAGCCCTTTAAATTTAGGGGTTGGTAGAAAAAGATTTGGTAATAAGTAATACTTTTTTGAAAAAAAGGATAAAAAAATAACAAGGTAGAGTGCACGTAAGAAAAAAGTTTTTTAGTTTTTTATTGGTGGAAAAAAGGTTGAGGGGTGGGCCAGGATGTACATGTTTTAGGGGGGGCAACTGATGTTCGGATATTATTTAGTTTAGCTACATTAGAGTAAGAGGTAGGGGGGAAAAAGAGGAAGGGGGGCAAAAAAGTAAAGGGAGGTGAAAGTGTATAAACTAAGGGAGGGGAAGTTCGGGTGAGATATAAGCGACTATTGGCAGAAAGGTGGGTAGTGCAAGAGAGCAGTGGGGGGGTTAAGAGGGTTTAAAATTTTTTAAAAATGCAGTAAGAATGTGGGGAAGTTTGGGGTTTTATAGGAGGGTGGGGCAGGAGGAAGAGGGGTGAAAGGTGGAACGATAAGTAAAGGGGGTGATAAAAAGAAAAAAGGTACTTAAGAGAGGTTTTTAAAGCAGAAGTTTATAAAAGAGCAGAGATTGGAGATAAAAAAAAGGAAAGAGAGGGTGAGAGAGTGCAAAAGGGGGCAGATGATAGAGTGGGAGGCACTTCAAAAATTTTAAAAAAAATAAAAAAAAAATTTTGGGGGGTAGTTAAACAATTAAAGGGAAAGCCAAAGGGAAAGTATGGTTTGCCCTTTAAAAACAGGGGGGGAGTAGTAGTGGGGAGATGGGGGTTTTAGGAGATGGCGAAATTTTTGAGAACTTAAATTTTGGGGAAAAACAGAGGCAGATTTTTCATGCCTGTCGGGGGGTTACCTCTTTTGGTGAAGAAGAGCAGAATGAAGTGTGGGGGAGGACGTGGGGCATTACGAAAAATAAAGGGGGGTAAAGCAGTGGAACGAGGGGATCATACAAAATTTAAAAGCGGGGGGGATTAGTTTTGGATTTTTGGGTACTTTTTTTTAAAAATGTATGAAAGAGGGGAAGGCCCTAGGGATTGGAAAGAGCATTTTATAGCCCCTTTAATAAAGGGAAAGGGGACAAAAGCGACGTAAAAATTAAGAGGAATAAGTTTATGAGTATACCGGGGAAAATGTACGGTAGGGTTATAATTGAAAGAATTAGGGGTAAACAGAATTGGGTTTTGTGGATGACAAGGAGGTTTCAGAGGGGGAGGGGTTTTTGAATGTTTTACATTAACAATTATGTGAACGTTTTTAATAAAGGAGGGAAGTTTTTATTGCTTTTAGGGATTTAAAAAAGGCATATGATAAGGGATAGGGGGAGCAATGTGGCAGATTTGAAAAGTATAGGGAAAAGGGGTAATTATTAAATGCTGTAAAGATTTTTTATGGGGATAGTGGGGCACGGGTTGGGTGTGTAGAAGGAGGGAACTACGTCCCGTAAAAGTAGGTCTTAGCAGGGATGTGTAATGTCACCAGGGTTGTTTTTTATTTTAAAAGGGGGGTTGAAAGGAAGTAAATGCTAGGGTGTTTCGGGAGAGGGGGGGGTTAAATTTTGGGGAATCAAATTAAAAAGGGAAATTGACACTTACTTTTTGCTGATGAACTGTCTTATAGGAGTTTCAAAGAAAAATTGAAAAGGGTTAGTGGAGATTTGGGGAATGTTGTAAAGGTAAAAGTTAAAGTGAACATAGAAAAAAAAGGTGATGAGGGGTTAAAATAATTTAGATAAAAAAAAAATTGATATCAAATTGGGGAGGAGGATTTGGAAAAGAAGTGAATGTTTTCAGATATTTGGGGAGTTACGTGTCGGGGGAGGGAAATTTATGAAGGATAGGTTAACAAAAATTGATGAGGAAAAAAGGTGAGGGGTGCTTGGGGGTAATGGGGATCAAAAAACGTTATTAGGGAGGCAATGAAGGGAATGTATAAAAGTATAGTAGCCCAAACATTTAGGGGGTGTGAAGTTGGGGGAAAATGTAGCGCGAGGAGACGGTTGGAGGGGCGGGGAAAATGTCCGTTTAAGGGCAAGGGTTTGGTGTAAATATTAGCAGAAAATTGGGGAGTGTGGAATTAAAAAAGGTGTGGATTTAAAAAAAGTATTAGTCAAGAGGGCAAAGAGGGTTTTGGTAGTTGGTCTTTTTGGGAAAAATGGATCAAAGAGAAGACAGGAAAACAATAAAACTAAGGGAAGGAAGGCGGGGTGGGGTCGCCTCGAAAGGGGTTTGGGGAGAGGAGGTAAAGGAGGGTTTTTTTTGGGGAGGGCTTAGGGCTTCCAGCAAGCGTGCGTGAGCGGTTTGATAGGATAATGGGACGAATGGACTTGGGACCTACGTCTGTTTGGAGGTGAGCGTAGCAGGGTAATATTTTTGAAGGGGATTCAGGGAAACCGGGTTTTTTTCATATAGTAGACTTGAGTCCTGGAAAAGGGAAGTACAATGCCTGCACTTTTAAAGGGGGTGGTTTGGGATTTGGCATTTGGAGGGGTATGTTGTGTATCTTTATATGGTTCTTCTAAACTTTGTATTCTGAGCACCTCTCAAAAAACAGTGATAATGTTGAGTGTGGTGAAAATGTTAATATGATGAAAGTATTTTCTTTTTTTGGGGGTTTTTTTTCTTTTTTTTGGGGCACCCGCCCCCGGTGGGAGACGGCCGACTTGTTGAAAAAAAAAAAATACTTAATAGGAAATTTACTGCAGTTAAGTAAGGAATTTTAGGATTTCTCTCAAAATTATGTATACAGTACTTGAATTTGTTCATTTTGCTTATATTTTTAAAAATTTTAGCACTTAAATTATTAGGGAGTTTAATTTTAGAAAATTTTGGGGTTGTAATAAATAGGATTTTTTTTTTTAATATTGGCACAGTATATGCTAATTCCAGTTGCCTATTGGTTACTTGCTTAGGAAGAAATTCCAAAAATTTCTTCTGCACCTTCATTGAAAAGTCATGGTGGTACCCTTTGTCCTATGACATTGAAAAGTTCTAAATATATGTTCTTGTATGCAAATGTCGTCAAAAATATAACTAAAAAATTTTTTATTTAGTGGGGTTTAAAAAAAATAAAAACAGATGGGGTTTAGTTTTATTATTTTTTATTTTCAATTTTAGGCAAAGAATTTATTTTAAATGCCATACAAAATCCATTCTGGCTGTGATTAGTTGACAGAGGATGTAGCCTCTCACTTGCTCATAATGACAAACAGATTTACAGTTCATTATTTTCTCATTCAAGGCTTTTAAACCCAGCTATTTTTTTTTTTTAACCAAAAAATTCCAAAATACCCATGTATAACTGGTGGAAAATGACGTGAGACAGATGTAGAAACTTTTTAGTCCATGTATAAATTTTTTTTTTGTATTATGGGGATAGTATTTTATTAAGAAACTTAAATGATTACAACATTCTTATCAGCAACTTAGCCTAGGTACTCTTTAGTATTTTCCACAACCATAATTTTTCTTGTTTTACAGTTTTGTGCAAACTGTTTACTGTAGCTGATTTTTCAATATTTATTTCTAGATAAGGGCCTACAGTGTTCAGTGTGCATGGAAGACTTCACTATAGATGAGAGTGTTCGTCGGCTCTATTGTGAGCATTGTTTCCACAATGACTGCATCATTCCCTGGTTAGAACTTGTAAGTATTTTTCCATAAAATTTAAACAAAATTATACAGTAAGGTCTCAGTTTAACGAACTTGTAGATTGGAGTGGGTGAGTGGTGATGGCGAGTGTGGTTAATGGAGAAGAATTTATTTTGTTGTGATTGTAATAATGGACGATTCTGTAAATAACGGTTTGTTTCTGAATAAACTGACATGGATTTTATCCTGTATTTCTAAGATCCATTTAATAGTTTGATTTATTTTGTTTTGACCTGACACTTTTTTGATCTAGGTGACTTTGAGTTGTATGCAGTCTTGTGTGAGGGGTAGACCCAATAATGAGGTTGATGAAGGTAAAACATTTTTTGTTTACTTCTCTTTCATTTATAATTACATATACGTATCTATTTTATTTACTTATCAGCATGGAACCTGTCCAATTTGCCGGAAGTTGTTACTTGAGGATGTGCAGGCAACCCTAGGTGCATCGGCTGCATCCAGTGGTAGCAACAACAGTACCAACCCTGGTTCAAGGTGAGCAGGCAAGTAACCCTTTCATCCTCATATTTGCTCACCTATGTACAGTAGTTAGCTTTTTTCACCTTTTCATTATCTGGAGGTAACGATCTTGGAGTCTTTATCTACTAGTACTGTATTTATTCTGATAAATTTTAAGGTTAGCCAATAAAGGTATTTTTAAGGAGAGAATTGATTGATGACATGTTTCCTTTACTTGAGCACGTTTTGAGTGTCGTATTACCTCTTGAAACTCTCACTATGTAATGTTATATACAGTTTTTATTATATAATTTCAAAGTTCATTTTTCCGTCAATAGTCACACTCTGAAAATCTATTGCAACTGCTACCAGCACTGTCAGCCACTGCTGATTTGGACTTTACAAGGCCAGAAACAATTCAGATAACTGGCAGAGTTAAAGTTCTTGCTCTCTCTCTTTTTTCTCTTTCTTTTTTCTCTTTCTCTCTCTCCTCTCTTTTCTCTCCTCTTTTTTTTACACTGGGTTTGACAAGGTTAGATTAAGGATCCCTAGCTTTATTGACAAGCTATTTGCAGGTTAAGGATTCCTAACTTTATTGACAAGCTAAGAGCTGTTACCTACATCAGCTCATTTGAAAGCATTTTTATTGTTATGAGACATACAAGTAGGGAACAGGATGAAGTTGGAGCCATCTGTGGGCCAGCATTTTCATTTGATCAACTGACTTTATCTCGTTGACATTATGCTGTACGAATGTGTTCCATACTCGAGTCATCCTGGGTATATATGATCTCAGATGGAGTGATGTTCTGGAGAAGGGTACAGCCAGAGTGAAGTTGCTGCTTTCTGCCCATCTTCTGGCATAAAAGCTTGTTTCTCGCTGTCCTCGAAGTGGATCCAAGTGTGGTAGTTTGACAATATTGGCCTTGTACATAACAGTAAGGCCACCCACATCCCTCCTGTGTTGAAGGCTCTGCTGAAATGACAGGTCTATCAAGGATGGGTCCAGGCGAGAGATGAGACATCTTGCTCTGTTCTCTACTCTGTCAAGCAGTCGCAGATGAGAGGGGGGACAGGCAAACCAAGAAAGTGGAGCATACTCAAGGTGTGAGCGTACTTGTGCCTCATACAGAATCTTGCAACCCCTACTGTCAAGCAGATGCGAGATACAGCGAAGTGCTGTAAGCTTCCTGGCTGCCTTGTTTGCAAGATTTACAACATGGTTCTTCATGGTTGGTTTGGAGTCAGATTTCACCCCAAGGATATCAACTTCTTCTCTATACTACACATATACACATACACCCAATACACACACCATCATACACACACACTCATCAACATACACACATACCACATAACTCCACACAGTACCACACACACACATAACACAAACACACCACACATACACACACACGACATACACACAGACACACACACACAACACCCATACAACACACACACCATACCTCGATACACATACACACATACAGACACACTCATACACGACACATGGACACACATACCCACTCACACACATACACACACACGACAAACAACACACACATACACACACACAACAATACACAACACACACAAATACACACACCACCATACGCCCTACACACACAACATACACACACACACATACACACACACTACACTATACACCCACACACATACATACGACCACACCCATACCCACACTCACACATCATTACACACACACATTCCACACCACACACATACACACAACACTCAGACACACACACACATACCACACACACACATACACGACACACACATACATACACAAACACATAACATACACACACGAACTCATACATACACACGACACATACACACACCACACAACATACACACTTCAACATACCACACACCACTACAACATACACCAGCCATACAGTACCCCACACACAGTCCACACACACACATACACATCACACCAGCATACGTAATACACTCATACACTACAGCACACCCATACACACACACTTACACACCTCACACACATACATACTACAGCACGACAAACACAACACCAACACACACACACATACCCACACACATACACAACTACAGCACATACCACACGACATAACGCACACACATACATACACACACACAGACACACACACTACATACACACACCACATACACACACTCTACATCCTGTATACTTCACACACCACATCCAGCACATCATACACCACACATACATACACACATACATACCACACACACCATACAGGCACACGACACACACATACAAACACCACCATACACAACTAAATAATACACACACACAGACGACCCAACACATAAACACCACTTACACACGGCAATACACACATACATACACACACACACACATACACACATACATACACACACACATAACACACACACATACATAACACACACACACAGCATACACACACACGACATTACCCACACACACACATACCGACACACATACATTAACATCACACACATACACTCACAATACATACCAACACACACATACACACACATACATACACCTCGACATACTCACACATAACATACACACAGCACATAACCCATCAATACATACACACACACATACACACGACCATACAATACACACCACACAGAGTCACAGACATACCTACCCAATACCATCACACATACCATGACCACACATACACTGGGTTTGTGTACACACATATCATTCACACAGTACACACACACATTACCATAACACACACTACAGACACACATACAGACCACCGCGACACATACACACATTACATACACCACCACACATACACACACAACATACCATACACACCTCCCACTACACCACATCTGACACTACATACATACACACATACGATACACTACATCACATACACATAACACTCACGACACACTACATAACTTCCACACACACATACATACCGAATGCATACACGACACACATACATACACATACACACATACATACACATACCCACACACATGACATACACCTACACACGACATCATACCACTATCCCCTAATAACACACACACCATACATACAGTCATACACACGACACATTACATACCAACACACACACATACATACACGACATCACATACATACCCAACACGACATACATACAACACACCATACACGACACACGTACATACCACCGTACATACACACACGACGATACCATGACACTCACACATATCACATACACTCAACATACCACATTTAGCACACACAGCGTTACAGTGACCACGATACACATCTACACTCACACATAACACACACCTACCAATCACATACACCACATACATACCATACACACATACATTACACAACACCACGACACGCATCATACACACATACATACACATAAGACCGACGTTTACACACACTACTAGTATAGCACTCAACACACATACTCACAGTCATGCACACACAATACAACACATACCCATACACACCATACCACACACACTTTACTCATACACTATACACACACACACATACACACAACCACAACCATACCACACACACATACATACACACCATAGCACACACATAATTAACGACCACATACACACACACATACACACAACATACACGAGCGACATTACACAACACACAAGACATCACTACTCACACATACATACATTACATCGACACTCATACAGTATCACAGACACACACACACACACACACACACACACACACTCACACGGACGACACACATTACCTAAGACGCATCACACACACACAATCCCATAGACTCACACATACACGACACACATACCCATACGATACACAACACACACACATACCATTACAGTACACAGACATACACACATGCACATACATACATACACATAACACACACACATACATAACATACACCATACACTACCCGACATACTTAACATACACATATCACACACCCATACATACACATTAACACACACACATACATTACACAAACACCACACACATACATACTCATACACACACACCATACATACACAATAACACAACACACAGACATACCACATACACCACACAATCATGTACACATACCACACTTACAGCGACTCATACACACACACATACATACACATACACACACACAATCGACATACATCAGAAACACCCACATACATCCACTGATCCGACACACATCGATACGTACACTACACACACTCACATACATACACATTACCACACACAGACATACCTACTCAATCACATACGAGACACATACCACACACACATCCATAACACATACTCACCCCACATTACATACACAACACACATTCATACAACGACACATGACAACATACAGCGGATACACACACACATACGTACATACACATACGAGCGGGACACACATTCACTTACTCCCCGACCCCCCATAAATCAACGCGCATATTACCCCAACACCCTACTAAATACCAGTCCTAAACCACCAAAAAAAAAAAAAAAACACTCTAATCCCCTTCCCCCGGCCTTCTGGGCCCTTGTCCCACTACACATTCCCGCCTCTACCCGTATGCAACTTCCACCTCAACGACTCACCCTATCCACCGGCACCCCTCCAACGCGGTACAACCTCAGCACGACCCCAGTTAGAGGAAGAGCACGATTGAAGAGAAGGAGAGAAACAACATAATTATAACGTTTTCCCAGTTTTTCACATTACCGTAGAGCCCTACAATTGCTTGCACACTATACTGGTGATAAAACAATCAACCAAGACAATAAAGGCGGTGAGAGATTCAGTTATGAAAATGCTCTATGGCTAAAATTGGATAAATTCGTAGTTTAATACAGTGGTTTGCCCAATTTTAGAATTCTATATTATGCAAATATATCAACAAATTATAACAATTCATCATATAACTGCTAAACACTTAAAAAAAAGTTTCTGACATAATGCAGTTAGTAAATTTGTTTGTAAAGCCTAAAGCAGCACAAACTATACATTCACATGTAAGTTTAATTTTTGTTAAACCCAGATAACCAACCAA